AGCGAATGTGCGATGTCGAGCGGTGGCGACTGATCGGGCCGCGAGCAGCTGATGGGTTCACTTCTTCGCATGCTCCGACGCATCAACCAAACTTTTTCAGAGTCGACGAGTCTATGAGGATGGGAAACTTTCTATCCGGCTCTTGCCCCCCCCCCCCCCTGGCTACGCCAAATAATCATAAGATAAAGCAAATCCGGAAGCGCTTAAACCCCAAACAAGTTCATCTTGCCACGGTGTCATCCTCATGCAGCGGCTGACTTGTCTCCAAGGCCAGGTGGAGTCGGCTTTCTTCCTTTCCTCCTCCGTCGGGACTTAACGTTGAATTGCGGCGGAATCCATTTCGATTGCCTCTTAGGCTGCCGGCAATGGGACTTCGCTGTATCGCTATGTGGGCTTTGTAGGCTCGGTATGCACTATCTCTTGCATGACTTAACATTGTTTCGCTTTCAACCTCTGATAACGTCACTTGGAAGAAGGAAAAAAAGTGCGACTCCTGCCCACCAAATTTGGCATGCGGAAGCCATTTCAATCCAGATTTTTTTTTCTCTATGTATTTATTGAAGAGAAGTTCCCAATATCCATCACACGACAATCACAGATTGATTATCATTCGTCATTGTCATCAGTCCCGTGACCGCATTGGTCGTAGGGGCACCGTTGAAGCCACCGCAATCATTTCTTTCCACCTGTCCCGGTATTTCGCTGTCCGTAAGAACTCTTCCGTCCATGCCTTCATGTTCTCATTCTGTGTCTTCCTCTCTTCCTGTTGCCGTCAACCGTGCCTCGTAGAACTGTTTTTGCAAGACTTCCCTCTCTTCGGCAAACGTGGCCAAACCGCTGTGGCTTCCTGCGCCTCGCGGTCGCCATTGTCGTCTCAATTTCGCCTGTCTTCTGCGGGATTTCTTCTCTTACCGTTTATTCGGTATTCTGAGCAGCCTCCGAAAGCATCTCATCTCAAACGCTTCTATTCTCCTTTCGAGTCTCTTTGTCAATGGCCACGTCTGGCACCCGTAGAGTGCTGTTGCCATGATGATTGTTCTGAGAAGGCGGATCTTCGATTCATCTGAAATCCCTCTGTTTGCCCAAATGGTCGTCAAATTAGTGTACTCTTTGCCATTGCTAGTCTTCACCTCGCATTCCGATGTCCCGTCTTCTGTCAGGATTGCACCTAAGTACTGGAATTTCTTGACTCTTTCCAGTTCTTCCCCGTTTATGCATACCCTAGTTTTGGTGGTGTCGTCACTCTTCCCAGCGATTTTCTCAGTGCTGATTTCCATGCCGTATCTACTTGATATATTGTCCAGTCTCGTTGTTATACAATAGTTCTTCGAGCTCCGTTGACGTTTTTGCAATCAGGTCTATGTCACCTGCGAAACGCAGGTTACAGATGTTCCTACCACCGATTGTTACTGCTCCCTCGAAGTTGTGCAGCGTTTCTGTCACGATCTGTTCGAGAAACACATTGAACAGATTGAGCGATAGCAGACACCCGTGCCTGACACCGACAGTTGTTCGGAACCTGTCGCTGGTGGTGTCTCCGACCAGAAATGGGCCTTTCGTGTTTATCGTTACTCACATGAAAATCGAAATTCAGATAAATTTACGTGTTCCTCGCTCTCACAAGATCTGCTTTTGAAAACTGATCATCGATCTTCTGAACGAAGATTGCCGTTGTATGCATTACTATAGATCTAAACTGCATGGCTCCTTTGGGATTCGTCCTGTCCTATGGAATTGGATTTGATTTTTATTCTCGCGACAAGCCAGTCGAAGAAAACGTGCACGTTTTCGCCGATGTCACCATATCTCAGGCTTGCAATTATTATTTTGAGTTCTTGCCCCAGCGACGAGTCGCCGCAAATTATCGAGTAGCACTTCACGAACGGGACGACCAGGAGGAAGCCGATACAGACGCAAATCGGGAGGAGAAACAGACAGAACATGAACCATAGAAACCAAATCCATTTGTTATGGGATTCCCAGGGGAAATTCGAGAAGTGCTTGAAGGTCAGCCCGCTTCTCGGCCACGAGGGCCTGGACGACGAGTAGGGCGAGGAACGCGAGAGGAATTCAACGGGGAACACCGAGAGAATGAGGTCGGCCGCGGTTGCAACGTGGTAGGAGAGAATGGCGGCGCTGAAATTTCTGATTGAAATTGGTGCTCGAGGTAGCGAGTCCGGGTCGACAAGCTGATCTATTCTGAAGGCCGTTCGGGGATTCTGTCCATTTCTTCCGTCACTTGCGTGCTGCCCCGCCTGATAGGCTCTTCATCATCCTCAGACGTAGGTTCACGAGATATGAACGCTGTCAGCATCGGTCACATCTCGTGTCCACATAGCGTGAATCCAAGAGATGAGAGAGCGGAGCTCAGCGACGACGACGCAGAGCAAGAGGAATTTCACCCCGCGAAGTTCTTTCCGGCATAAAAAGCGCTTTTCCCCCCGTCCCAGGTCACAGTCACGGCAAAGAACGCAGCCAGGCAGAGGAAGATGAACGCGGAACAGGCGACGCATCCCAGGACCTTCTCCTCCATCCAGGGTCCCAGCCGGTCCCGAGCGAGACAAGTCCCGCCGCAGCGATGCAACAGCCTGTCCGTGAAGAAGCAGGGATAGAGCGGGATTAGGAGCTCCAGGGACCACGTGCACAGGATATAAGCACCCAACCCGGCCACCAATTTAAACTTGTTCGCTCTAGAATTCGCTCTAGAATTCGCTCTTCGCGGAATACCAATGTTGATTTTGGCGTAGAAACCGCCATTTTTCCTCGAAAATTCGTGGATGCATTACCGTCTTCGTCCGGAAAGTGAAACGACGGCATCGAACGGCAGATTCTCCTTATCTTATCGCAGTCTCTCAGTTCGCAGCCTTCAGTGAGACGTTCCACGAAATAATCTGAATGAATGAAGTTTCGTCCAGTCGCACTCTCTCGAAGGTACTCGAAGAGAGGGAGAGGGAGTGATAGGGAGTGATAGGGAGTGACACGGATTCTAAATGTGTATTACATTTCGCTTCACCAGAGGTTCCTCATAAATGACGATAGCCGACGAAGAAACGCTTTCAAGCGGCGCTCACGTCGAACATGACATTTCCATATTCATGGGTATGCAGATTTTCAATGCCTGATTTCTCCGCGTTTCCTACAGGACCCTTAACGACGAGGCCTGTTTGATTATATAATTTGACCCCGATGAACCCCTTCACCGGTTTGGAGCCTTTAACACCATCGAAGTGATTCGCCCTTTATTCGAGCCTATAGAAATTCGAGTCTCGAAAGAATCAGGTTCTGCACGATCCTCAAAAATCGACGAGAAGAGAATCTAGTCAATAGGCGGTATGGAGGAAACGCCAACCCCCCCCCCTTCAATAAAAAGAATAAAAAATAATAATGATAATAATAAATAATAATAATTTTGTGCGATTGTGGGAATGGCAGCTGAACGAGCTTTGCCCCTTGCAAGGGGCGCGGCAGGAGCTAGCCTTCCCCCAAAAAGTGAAAACTCCCGCGAAGTCAAGCGGGCATGGGTCGATGAATCCCCCGATGCATCCTCGGGGCGAGGGTCCCTCCCCCCGGCCGGGGCGAGTGCAGGGGCCGGGGCGAGCGGTGACGTCGCGCCTCGAGGGCGTTCGCGGCGGCGAGCGCGGACGCGGCGACTCTCGGCGGGACTTTTCTCGCGATGGATTGCGAAAAAAGTTCAATGGCGATTCCCTGTGAAGCTCCCGCTCGGCGCTAATTAGCGAAGCTTGATGGAAAATTAGCACGAGACATTTCGCAGCGATGCCACCGCGCCGCCTAGCGGGCAATGGTGGAATTACATCCGCGCCGATATCGAATATATCGCGTGGGAAACGAGAGGATTCGCGGCAGGTGCATCGCGATAGCCTCAATCCGACGGATTTCCCCTGGATTTTGAGCTTCGTTTCCTCCAGCGCGAGTGCAGCAATCGTACCGATTCCAGCTGGGAGTGATGGGTGAGCGAGGTAACTCCCAAATTACATTTTTAATTACCTTTTTTTTTGCAATTAATACTTCACGGCGGAACGAGTGCAACTTTTCCGTGTTGCACGTTCCCTCGAGTCCGCGGTCTGAAAGAGATCGACATTCTCTTCTGAGACTTTTTTTTTTTCTTCCTGCACTCACGAAAGTCCGCTGATTAGCTCGCTAATTCCAGCCAACTAATTAGTCCCGTGATATCGAACCGAAGTCATTCGAATCGCTGACGCGGATGAACAGCGAGTTGCTTCCTCACGAAACGTTCTCCCTCGCCTCCCTAGTTTCCCTCGCCTCCCTAGTTTTCCTTCGCCTCCCTAGTTTCCTTCGCCTCCCTAGTTTCCTTCGCCTCCCTAGTTTTTCTTCGCCTCCCTCGCACACTCGTCATGAAAGTTTCTCCAGCTGGCGCGCTGCTCCACTAACACGGCCGAATTGGATATCCAGCCGTCTCCCAACTTTCCGACGAGAGACGACGGCGTCCCGGAGCACCGGCCGTGAAGCGGAAGGATTATAAACGGAAGGGCGATAAAACTTCCCCCATGCTGCGACACGACAGTGGAAGGGGGGGAAGCCGGAAGTTCAGGGAGCCGGAAGTTCAGGGAGCCGGAACATCGTTTCATTCAGTTGAGATAACGATTAATGTGATCCCGTCCGCAAGGTACGGCCTTAATGCATGCCGGATCGATTGACGTTCCTCATGCATGGCACGTGGACGGACGGATAATCGCGGCTGAATCTCGAGTTGATGGGATGAGGGGTTGAAGGAACTCCTGGATGGGATAAGGTTTGGGGACATATGGTATAGATAGAGGAGCCGGTATGTGGCCTGTAATAATTGGCCTATGTTTGGACAGACAATATTTTTTCGCCGAGATTAAACGGCTTCTCCCCTCCTTCCACTCCTCCTTCCCCCCCTCCTTCCCCCCTTCCTTCCCCCCTTCCTTCCCCCCCCCCCCTCCTTCCATGCCTCCCATCGTATAGGGACGGAGGAGGAGGGAAGTGATGTTTGAGTTCAACTCCCAGTGATGCCGAATGTTCGTTTTCGATCGTGCTTGCAGCACCAGAGGGAGCTGAAGGGCGGGCTGGTCGCGCTGAACTTGGCCAGGGAGGATTGGGACACCTGGGACCCCATGCTCATTGCGGAGGGACTCTTCGCCGCGGCCAACATCTTCAGGTGTCCGATGCCCTTATTATCATTATTATTATATATATATATTTTTTTTTTTAGTTCGTTTTTTATGCATTTCTGTTCATCGGCGATTATTTATTTATTTATTTGCAAAAAAAAGACTGTTGCTATATTAACCAACTTCCCGAATTTTCTCCAGCTGCGAAAATTGAAAATGTGTTTTTTTTTTTCCGAGGGGACCAGGCCATTCCCTTGCATGCAGATTCGAAGACTCGATTAATCAGGGCAGGGAACCATGCCAAGGAAGGCGTCTTGGCACGAGGCGCGGCGCCCTCAGATTTGAACGCTCAGACTCGAACCTTCAGATTTGAACCTCCCGATTTATGAACTCGTGACCTTGCGACTCAAGGTCACGATATAGGATGAGACCTAACTTAAAAAAAAAATAAAATAAATAAAAAAAGGAGGAAAAAAAAGAAACTGATCTCCATGTTATTAGCCGAACCGTTCTCTCTCTCTCTCTCTCACTCACTCTCTCTCACTCTCACTCTCACTCTCACTCACTTTCAACTGCTCTCAACGGGACGCCACATCTTGTGTCTATCAGCATTTAAGTCTAATTTGGCATCTAAGCCTTGGCATCTAGATTTATCAATTTCACCCATTTCCCATTTTCTGATGCCACCGTCGGCTCAATACCGAAAATTAGGAGAAATAAAATTTTTCCGGCACGATCAATCAGCCCGGAAGAAAGCTTTCGAAGTGCCGGTTTGCCGTCCCCGGAGTTAAGGCAATAAGTTTTTTTTTTTCTTGAAATTGTTGAAGCGAAAGGAGGAGGGAGACACCCTCATCAAAGAACTTTTTTTTTTTTTCAAAGAAGCCAAAGAAAATAAAAATAAAAACTTTTTTTTAGGTCGACTCAAAATTCACGAAAATCGTCTTACCGACTTCATTTATTTTCCCCTGCTAAAAAAAAATAATAATAATAATCCGACAACTCCATGGGAAAAAAAAGAGGCCCGAGTCGAGGTCCCGAGTCGAGGACTCGAGTCGAGGACCTGATGCATTTTTTTTTCCGCGGCAGAGGCGGGATCGCTCAAAGGGTTCGATGACGTCACTGCGATCTCCCCCGGGAAATAAACTTTGCGTCTGCGGTATTTTTTTATTATCCATGTTTCCTCCCTGCCGAAATTTTTTTTTGAGGTCCGAAATAAATTCCTTCCCTTCTTTTCTGCGCTTTCATCGAACTGACATTTAATATAATTTTTTTTAATTTATAGTTATTTTTTTTTTTTCCCTGCTGAAATAAAAAAAAAAGAAATTTGCAAATTCCCCTTGCAGTTCTCTGAAGCTGGTGTACATCTTCTCGGTGAACCCTTACCTGGGCCCCCTCCAGGTCTCCCTCTCCCGGATGGTGATGGACATCCTCAAGTTCTTCTTCCTCTACATCCTCGTCCTCTTCGCCTTCTCCTGCGGCATGAACCAGCTCCTCTGGTACTACGCGGACCTGGAGCGAACCGCGTGCGTGGACCAGCAGGCGAAGGCGTTCAACTCCAGCACGGCCGATCCCGACGCCTGCTTCGTCTGGCGGCGGTTCTCGAAGTGAGACGAATTTTTATTTGTTTTTATTTATTGATTTATTGATTTATTTTTAAATTTAATATTATTATTTTTTAAATGTAATTTAATGTTTACATTTTTTTATTTAATTTTTTTTTGCTAAAATCGGAAAAAATGCGTAAAAAAATTCCTCTTGTTAATTGAAGTGGGCAGGGATTTTTTTTCTTCCTTTGGGGTTTTTCACGACGTCAGTTCCTTCAAAGGAACGCGAGGCGAGAGAGCCTCGCAGATAATCGAGTCTCGTCCGAAACGGCGCGGAATTTGCACATGCCTTTCCACTCGCGGGAATTTTTGCAATCGAAAGGCCTGTTCGCAGCCTGTTCGAGACGAGCCAGACCATCTTCTGGGCCATCTTCGGCCTCATCGACCTCGACAACTTCGAGCTGAAGGGCATCAAGAGCTTCACGCGGTTCTGGGGGATGCTCATGTTCGGGACCTACCACGTCATCGCGATCGTCGTCCTCCTCAACCTGCTCATCGCGATGATGAACCACTCGTACCAGCTCATCTTCGTGAGTGGCTTGCGTAACGCGATCGCGATCGCGGTCATTCGCGTTTTTTTATTTCTCTGTATTTATTTTCTTTTACCCGACGCGAGATTTATTTGTAATTTGGAATTACATATAATTTGCAAAACGGAAAAAAATGGTATTTTTCTTTAATAAAATATACTCCGTAATATGGACCGGTGCCTATTAGATTAGGAAAAAAATTACTTGGAAACGTTGATTTCATATCGTTTGATAAGAGATAAGATTGATAATATTGGTAAGAATGATAAGATTGATAAGATTGGTAAGATTGATCTTGTTATCTCTGCTGCTGTTGGACTGGTACGGGCTGGAGAAGAAAAATGAGCCGGGAACAGAACCTCAATTATCGGCATTCCCATGAATGGCGGGCGGGGCCATTCATCCTCGACTTCGCTCGGTCCCCGCCAGATGTCTCTCGGGAGGTGGTGGGGTTGATGACCGCGTTTGCCGCCGTCGCGGGGTTTCCGCGGGTTTCCGCGGGTTTCCGCGAGAGGATGAGGTCGACGTGACGACGGGCCCGAGGTCGTTGCGAGTCGGGTTGGATCAGGAGAATAATGAAGACGAAGAATAAGGAAGAAGAAGAATAATGCGGATAATAATGATCTACGTGCGGAACGAGAATGAGACCAATCGCGATTTTTTTTTTTGTCCTCGTTTGTTTTCTGCGACGAGTGACCGCCGGAGAAAAAAACGTGGAGAAAATGAAAGGGAAAAAGCTCGGAACGAATTAGGTAGTTCTCGTCCGCATCTTCGAGTGATCGCGCGCTTTTTCGTCATGGAAGCTGGGTCAAGGCGTCTTTATCAGCTGATGTTCGCTTGCGTGTCTGTCCATCAGCCCTTTAGAGGGCTGCACGGGCATCCTTTCAGGGGGTCGGACCAATTGGGCCGATCGGACCAATTGGGTTCCAGCGCCTGTCGAATTCCTGCTTGTCAGCGAATTCGGAAAGCAAATTTGCAGGCGTAACCATATCCGGGTTGGTGTGATTTTTTTCTTGAATTTTCGGATTTTTGGCTGCAGGCACAAAAGGATTCCCAATCTGTAATTCGAACAGGCACCGATCAACGTCATTGCAAAACCCGTTCAATTGTCCTCAATAGACGTGGCCCCACGTCCACCCACACGGCGAACGAATCCACTTGATTCAGAAATGAAACGCCTCAGCGTGTTCCACGTGCTCACGGTTTGCAGATAGAATCTGTGACCATTGAAGCTAATAGTTTTTTTTCTTAAGACCACGACCCGCCACTGCCATCTGGCCTCTCAAAATAGCACTTATTCCCCAATTTCACCCCACCCCCCAAAATAAGTAACGATAATAAATAAATAATAAATAATTAATAATAATAATAATTTCTGCACACTGACCTCCATCCCCTCGTCGAAGCGCAGGAAAAGGCGGACGTGGAGTGGAAGTTCGCCCGGAGCAAGCTGTGGATCAGCTACTTCGAGGAGGGCGGGACGGTCCCCCCCCCCTTCAACATCATCCCCACGCCCAAGACCATCTACTACATCCTCCGCTGGCTCTACCGCAAGATGTGCGGGAAGACCCAGGCCGCCAAGAAGCAGCACATGCAGACTATCCGGGTGAGACCCCTCTCCCTTGCCCCC